AACGACCTCATGAAGGAGATCTGCAAAAGGTACCTAGGGGACAGCCCACCCCGAGCTCCTACGGAGTACGACGGCGAGAGGAACGAGGCGTTGGGCATCACCGAAGTGAAAGTGAGGGAGGTCCTGCTCAGACTTAAGACCAAGTCGGCCCCGGGTCCCAACGGAGTGACGAACAAGATGCTACGCAATCTGGGGGACGGAGCCGTTACCGGCATAATGCGATACATGAACGCGTGCTGGAAGCTGGGCTTTATCCCCCAGCAGTGGAAGACCGCCAAGGTGGTAATGATCCCCAAGCCGGGCAAGAGGCCGCAGCTGGACTCCCTTAGACCCATGTCGTTAACTTCCTGCGCGGGCAAGCTCATGGAGCACGTCGTCCTAGGGAGGCTGAACAGCTTCATGGAGGAGAGAGAGCTCTTTCCGCACACCATGGTCTGCTTCAGGCCGCATCTGTCCACTCAGGGCATGATGCTGCGCCTTAAGCATCAGATAGTGGATGGAACGGGGAGCTCCCCCCTCGACACCAAAGCGATCCTGGGCCTGGACTTGACGAAAGCTTTCGATAACATTATACACGACGCAGTCCTCGACAACCTCAGGGCGCTGGCCGTGGGCAAGCGAACATATGATTACATCGTGAACTTCCTGAGCGGGAGGAAGGCGAGATTGGTGGTCGGCGGGGTCGAGTCCGAAGACATCTGCCTTGGGCGAAAAGGAACGCCGCAGGGATCGGTGCTGTCCCCGTACCTCTTCAACGTGGCGATGATCTGCCTGACCGCGAAACTTGAGAAGATAGCCGGACTGCAGCATAGCATCTACGCCGATGACATCACGCTGTGGCTGACTGGCGGCAGCGACGGTTACATAGAGGAAGTACCCCAGGTGGCAATCCGGGTGGTAGAAGAGTACGTAGCTCCCAGGGGACTGGCGTGCTCTCCGCAGAAGTCCGAGCTTTTGCTGCTGAGACCCAAACTCGGCGGGAAGGAGAAATCAAACATCGAACTCTTCGCGCAAGGGCACCGCATCCCCCAGGTCGAGAGCATCAGGGTGCTAGGCCTGCGCATACAGGCAGATGGGAAGAACAGGGAGATGATAGAGGCCCTAAAAGGGACGGCCTATCAGGTCGCCCGGCTCATCGCCAAGATCTCCAACAGGAACTATGGCATGAAGGAAAGCAACCTCATGCGCCTGGTACAAGCTTTTGTGATGAGTCGGCTGGCATACGTGGTTCCCTTCATGAGACTCGGAGTGGCCGAAAAGTCCAAGCTGGAATGTATAGTGCGGAAAGCATACAAGCGAGCCCTAGGGCTGCCGGACTCGACGTCAAACGAGGAGCTGGCGGCCCTCGGGGTACACAATACCATCGACGAGCTCACCGAGGTTCAAAGAACCGCCCAGTTGGAACGGCTCACGAGGAGCGCGACTGGCAGGCACATCTCAAGAGCCTCGGCCTCCGGTATGAGACACAGAGAGGCGAGAAAGTGGACGTTCCCCTACACATCAGGGAGATGCTGCAGATTTCCCCCCTCCCAAAGCACATGCATCCTGCACACGATGCCAAGAGAAGGGAAGCGAGTGCCAAAGCCTTGGGAAGAACGCTAAAACAAGAGGAGGGGGTCGCGTATGTCGACGCGGCCGAGTACAAGGGAAGAGGAGCCATGGCAGCGGCGGTGGTGAACGGTGACGGACACCTCGTCGCGAGCTGCAGCGTGAAGACCGACGACCTGGAGACGGCGGAAGAGGTGGCGGTGGCGCTCGCGCTAAGCATGCCCGGCGTCAGGACAATCGTGTGCGACTCGCAGAGCGCGGCTCGCAACTTCGCCAAAGGGAGAGTGTCGCCGAAGACTCTGCGGGTCCTCAGGGGTGCGACGTGCTTCGGTGGGAGGGAAAGAGTGAGACTCGTGTGGACACCAGCACACGCGTCGCTTCCTGGCAACGAGGAGGCTCACGACGCGGCCCGAGGACTTACCGTTCGGGCCGGCACAACGTCTGGGGCCCCCGTCGCGTCGTCCGGGAGAGACAGGCTGGTGACATTTAGAGAAATTCTCGACCACTACACGGACGGGAGGAGGAGCTTTCCCCCCGCGCACCACGCGCTGAATATGAGACAGTCCACGGTGTGGAGACGTCTGCAAACGAACACCCTATCCGTGTCCGGCTTTACTAAATCGGTGGTACCCGGACAGGTATACGGGCGCGTGCAAACTATGTGGACAGAGGGCGAACTTGAAACACATGGTGTGGGAGTGTAGTAACATAGACAGGGGCCCTTGCGCGAATAAATTACTCACGCAGCTCAGAGATGAAGAGAGCTGGGAGACCACTCTGCTCAGCTCGAACCCTCGGGTCCAAGAAGACTTAGTCCGACTGGCCGAAGACGCCGCCAGGGTCCAGGGGATCCTGGCCGTCGTCTGAGGGGGGGTGGGGGGGGAACCTTAGTGGGCTCCTCACCACTTCCTAATTCCTTTTTCGGGCACCAATAAAATTGTACTGACTGACAGACCGACTGAGTCTACAAGGATTTGCAAAAACAATAGAAATGATGCAGGCTATTGGGGCGGGCATGCTGAAGATTGGGGTTTCATTTTATTGTTCCACTTACATCACTGCGCAGAAAATTGCAAACATGGCACGTAAGTTTCCCTAAAAAAGAAACTCGGTCCACAGTAAGAAACTTTTTTTTTCTGTGCATACATCACTGTCGCCATCACATACTAGTGAACTTGAAGAAACGAAATATAAACATGCTTCCTCTATGGCATGTTTTTGCTCAAATACGTTAGGAGTCTGGTTACGATGATGGTTACGATGATGGATATGCCCTGTAGTTGTGCTACTGGGCTCGTAGTTGGTAAAAGCAGCGCTAAAACCAGCAAAAAAAAAAACGACTGCTCCTTGATGTTGCCCACAGCTGGTCTAGATTCATCGGAAGAGTCCATCAATTTAAAGAGATCGAAGATCACTAGATCAATGTCACCGTCTGCAATGTCCTGTTCCCGGGCTTCGGATTCAACACGCTCAGCATGGTACAACGTATGACCAATCTTGTTGGATCGCAGAAAACAGTTCTTTTGGTATCTGATAACTATCAATTTCGAGAAAGTGAACAGTTTATTCTTTTTCGCCTCATTGCCCATCACCTTTCTCAACACCAGTCTGATGAACCTTCTCCAAGAAGAGTTGTGCGCATGTGCGGGCTGTCCTCGAACAGCGGCGAAAGTTCAAGTTATGGTCGGCTTAGGAGAGCGGAATTAGCGGAAGCTTCATGGGGAGATACGCTACCTTTCGAGTCTAATCCGCGTTGTCTCATGTGTTGTCATTCGTTCGTTTCAAATGAATGCTACTTCAAAACTCCCGTCGCAAGCTGCTCGGAAAGGAACGCTCGCGCGGTGGTGCTGTTCCCCCTTTCACCTTATAATGGACCGTAGCGGATGCTATGAACCATCCTAGCCTTTCCATGACCATAGACGGGGATACGCACCTGTGTCCTCCCAGAAGTCACGTGACACTCCCGCGGCTTTGGATAGGTTTGGATGACTCGTAGCGTTCTCCAGATTTACGGCCGATCCTTCAAGAATGTGATGGCTTACAATTACAAATTAATCAGCCACACATGAAATTCATTATTGTAACTAATTACTTCTGTAAAAATGTAGTTGATTTCCTTCCTAGTTACGCTACAAGTTAGTTCAATGTTACATTGTTTCAACCAGGGTGTCGAACCGGAACCGAACCGAACCGAAAACCGGAACCGAACCGGTATTTTTTCCGGAACTGAACCCGAACCCGAACCGTTATATTGTTATCGCGATGAACCCGAACCGGAACTGAACCGGAAAAAAAATAACGGTTACCGGCTCATGTCAAAACGGTTCTGCTTCGAGCTGTTGACAATGAATGTGCTATCAATGCCATTTGTTTTTTAAGTGCCGTCAACTCACACACACCTCGCTTACATATTTTTCTTCTGCACTCAGTCTTAGGAATATAAACGCTGCATCCATGAAGCTTGACAAACGCTGCATCCATGAATCTTGACATAGGAACCAGTATTGCGCTGGTCGCGGCTTGCACGGAAAAAAGAATTAAAAGGCTGTGCAAAAAAAAAAAAAAAATCGCGTCAGGGGATTTTATTTTCCTACAATCTCGTAAATTCTAAATGCTGTTGTGTGCTCATTTCATAACACGTTTCTAAAACGTGATGTTGCAATTTTTCTTTATTTTGATGTTATTTTGATTTTGTTATTTTGATGTTGCAATTTGTCATTTATAATTTTCGAACCGGTTCGCGAACCGGTTCAGCGCCCCGAACCGGTTCGCGAACCGGTTCGCGGATCAAATTAATTGAACCGGAACTGAACCGGAACAAAATAAATTTACTTGAACCTGATTCGTAACCGAACCCGTATTTTTTTTGGTTCGACACACTGGTTTCAACCCTTCTCAAGAATCGAAAGAAAATAAAACAAATGATGGTTTTATAGATATGTATGGTCACGCCGCTTACAATATCTCACACTGTCACGTTATTGGGACCGTTCTAAGTAATTAAAAATGAAAGAGAGATATTGCATCTCTCATTAGTCGGTGGCAAGATTAAAGATGCAGTAGAAGCTCTGCCTCGAGTCAGCGCACGTTTCGTTCCGTTGTGCTTTGGTTGAATGATCGTAACTACTACTACTGCTTTGGCTACCAGTGCTCAGTTGACTTGCGGGATGTAGTTAGAATATGGTGTCAGCTATTGCTTTCTTCAGACTGCATTCGCGTGGGCGTCATTTCAGCAAACGATTCGTTGCCATAGAAACGGCGACCATAGCAGACGGACTTCGTCATTCGGAAGGAGACGGAGGTGTGGCGAGATCAGGTGCGTGTATGGATTTTTTTTCCGTGCTTTTTGATGGGTGGAACCTGAACAAAAAGTGTTTGAAATAAACACTTAACTCGGGTGGCTGGTTTTCTCCCGTGTCTATTATCTTCACGAACGTTACACAACAAGCATGTTTCGTTGGCCATCAGGCAGTCATTTTATTTTTGTTGTTCAAACAATACGCTAAGGTATCACGGCGCCAAAAGTTTATTCCTCTCCAATACTGATAAATTCGTGCAACATTTCCCAAACGTTGAATTTTTATAGCTAACATATATCTACCTTTATTTCCGGGAATCAACTCGCACAACAATGAAGGATGACACAACTTTAAGCTCTTCGCGCACCATATTCGATGGCCTATTCCACGACACATTAAAGCCAAAACATTCCTTCCTGCTTTCTTGTTTTTACCTTTCACATTTCGCAGTCATCATACGCGAGGAACACATCTCAGTTTCACTGGCTCAGTGGGTTGCAGAATCAAAGATCTTGTTCGCAACTTCAAGGGCACCTAAAACAAATAAGAGTAAATTGTTTATAACACTCTTTCTGATGAAGAGAACAAACGCAATTGAGCTAAAACAATTGAATACAGGTTTGCTCCAACAGAAGACGGATTCTTTCGTCATTTGGCATGTCACTGAGAAGTCCGTAATTTGTTGAATTACCCTAGTGTATATTGTTCATATTCCCCAATCAGGTATTATTTAACGAACACAGACTAAAACCAGTGTCGGGCGGGCACGTTAAAGGCCTTCGTAACAAAGACAGAGAATAAGAATTACAGAATCGGCGAGTCAGCTCGCGATCTCAAGGCAATCGGCGTGCGCACTTTCGCTCATATTTTAAATGAGTTTGTTCTAAAGGCCTTCGACGTACCCGTCTGACAGAGGTACGCACGTTATACATTATTTATACTCTGTGTAAGCCGGTCGGAATTTGCTGAGTTTTATTAATTCGATAAATCGACCATTATGTGATAGCTATACTTCGTCTCACCCTACAATGGACTAAAGGCAAAAGCTACAGACCGCCAGATCCAATCACGAGCCTATTAGAAATTGCCTATTGCGTTTTGATGCACGTATCAGTGCCCGCGTCTGAAATCACGGATGGGGATGGGCGGACAGTGGTTTGAATCGAAATAGCGCTGAGTGACTCAACAATTTTATATTGCAAAAAAGAGGCTGTTTGCAGTGTCGAAGCTATAGAAATGATGCAGCGTTTTTGGGTTCGGATCATCATTCGTCCACCCCTAATCAATGCTAGGCATGTCATAGTGTAGCGTGGAACGTGATTGGACCTGGCGTCCCGTAGCTTTGGCCTTTAGTCCATCGTAGGATGAGACAAAGTATAGCCGGTTTGAAGCAAATGTTGGGGTGGTTTTCATTGAGCCGTGAAGTTTTAATTTAATTAGTAAAATGTATAAGCAAGGCGGTGAGGTGGATTGTTTCTGGTTCATGCGTCAGCTACAAAAAATATCTGGTAACGCTACGCGGTTTAAACACTTACGCGTGAAGAAAATAAAGGTCTGATGAAACCGACTAGACTTGGATTTGGTACAACAAGGTACTGCGGTGGGCTAGTTGGTTCATACTTAGTGTTTGAACAGCGCAAAGACGACAGGAAGATAGAAGAGAAGAGGACAGGACGAGCGCTGACTATCAACTGATGCTATTTATTCAGAAGAGGATGAAGTGCGCGAGACTCGAGAGTGCCAAAATGCACTTTTTTCATCAAACACACGCGCGGCAGCTTTTTGCACGGGAATGGCCTGTGCCAGCAGGCGTCACCTTTTCTTCAACCGAAAGCGCAACCAGAAAGCAAAAGAAAGAAAAGCAAAAGAAAGAAAAGAAAAGAAAGGAAAAGCAAAAAAGAAAGAAAGAAAAGAGAAAAGAACGTGCTATAGTTTGCTGACCCAGGCATGGTAACCTTCGCCACCTGGAGACCATTGAGCGTGCGATTGCCGCCTTTCTTCTTTTAGGAGCCTTTGTGTAGATTCTGCGCATTGTGATGTCCAGCGGTCTTCGCCTGATGGTGACCAATGATCTTGGAAAGTGTCAACTAAACAAAGGCCTTTCCCGCACATGCCTAGGTTGCTCTTCAAGGTATTCTATTTCTTTGGCAAGCAAGGTTAGTGATGGAGAGCTGATGGCTCCTTCCCCTCTTTTGTGTATCGAAAAGGCCTCCACGATCTCCCGCGTCCTAAAGTCGTGATGTCTTTTTAGGATGGTACATTGACCGAATAAAGGGGAGCACAAACAGTCGCTGCAATGCCTAACCAAGTTACTGCCTGAGGTGTTTCCTATGAAGGCGGCATGTTCCCTCAGTAGATCATTGATACATATTCCGGTCTGCCCAATGTATGAACGACCGCAGGAGAGAGGTAAGTCATATACAGCACCTTCTGTACATTCCGTGAATTGTCTCGCGTGCTTCTTCCCGCATGGTGTTTGGGAGATGGAGAGGGATGTAGAATTCACCTTTTTGCACATCCGGCCAAGCTTGTTGGGTGCCGAAAACACAACTCTGACTCCTACCTTGGCTGCAGTTCTTTTGAGGCTGTGGGAGATTCCATGAAGATACGGGATGACTGCCGTGGGTAACTTTTCCTTGGTTACGTTTTGACAAGGTTCAGCTTGGCTACGGGACTCTTGTAGAAGCCTCTCCGCCGCGCTGCGTATAATATGATCTGGGAAGCCCGCATTTTTCAGTCGATTCACTTGAGTGGTAAAGCTACTCGAGACCTGGTGGTGACAAGACCTGTGAAGGGCGTTTTTTATGGCTGCCACCGCAATGCCTCTCTTGACTAGCTTTGAATGTGCGGATGAAAACGGAAGGAAGAATTTTTTAGAGCGGGGCGAATACTTCCAACAGACATGATCTCCGAATAGAAGTGTCAAATCTAAAAATCGCAGCTGTTGCTCCTCGGGTAACTCATTTGTCAGAGTGAACGGCGAAGAGCAGACTTGAACGTATTAAAAATATCTCCCACATCTTTTGATCCAGTGTCATCGGATGGTCTGTACAAAACAAGAAAGTCATCAACGTATCGAAATATTTTGATGACTGACGAGTCCCGGAGTGAAATTTCTAATAATCTGTCATAGAAGGCTAGGAGTAGATCACTGAGCGCCGGGGCTATGCATGATCCTATACAAACACCTTCGCGTTGCCGGTAAAACTCACTCCTGAACACTACTGTTGTGGAGCGTAAGTAAAGCATGAGGAGATTCAAGAAGTCCTCAGCTGCGATACCGACTGAGTTCTGAAATTTTAGAGGTCCATATCTATCAATGCCGTCGTTGACTGTTTCACAAATAGAGTCGTGAGCAAGGGAATAGTATAAGTCCTTAATGTCCACAGAGAAGGCCAAATCCTTCCCTTTGGGAAGTTGTTGAAGGTAATCTGACACCATGGACGGTGTTCTGACCAAGTAGGGATCTTCAACGTCCAAGACGAATAAGGACCTCTAGAGGTAGTACCCCATAAGGCGCTGCCATGTTCCTCGTTCCGAGACAATGACCCGAAAAGGGCAAGCCATCTTGTGTGTCTCGGCCGAAAAGAAGGCCTCCAGGGAAAGGCCTTTGCAATTCCTCACTGATGAAGAGAGTTTCGTTACATTTAGCCGCTCGCACATCTTGACGGCTTCCTTCTTCGTCTTTTCAGGTTTGTAACTCTTCAATAATGTAAAGTTGCTTGTGATGGCCTCCGCGGCCTTCTGATTGTAGGTGTCGTCGGGAACTATGGCGAACCCGCCTTCTTGTAAAGTTACTTGTGATGGCCTCCGCGGCCTTCTGATTGTAGATGTCGTCGGGAACTATGGCGAACCCGCCTTCTTGTAAAGTTACTTGTGATGGCCTCCGCGGCCTTCTGAAGGAAGGCCTCCGCGGCCTTCCTTCAGAAGGCCTTCGGCCTTCTGAAGGAGCCATCAGCTCTCCATCAATAACCTTGCTTGCCAAAGAAATAGAATACCTTGAAGAGCAACCTAGGCATGTGCGGGAAAGGCCTTTGTTTAATTGACACTTTCCAAGATCATTGGTCACCATCAGGCGAAGACCGCTGGACATCACAATGCGCAGAATCTACACAAAGGCTCCTAAAAGAAGAAAGGCGGCAATCGCACGCTCAATGGTCTCCAGGTGGCGAAGGTTACCACGCCTGGGTCAGCAAACTATAGCACGCTCTTTTTTCTTTTCTTTCTTTCTTTTTTCCTTTTCTTTTCCTTTCTTTTCTTTTCTTTCTTTTGCTTTTCTTTCTTTTGTTTTCTGGTTGCGCTTTCGGTTGAAGAAAAGGTGACGCCTGCTGGCACAGGCCATTCCCGTGCAAAAAGCTGCCGCGCGTGTGCTTGATGAAAAAAGTCCATTTTGGCACTCTCGAGTCTCGCGCACTTCATCCTCTTCTGAATAAATAGCATCAGTTGATAGTCAGCGCTCGTCCTTTCCTCTTCTCTTCTATCTTCCTGTCGTCTTTGCGCTGTTCAAACACTTGGATTTGGTCTCAGTAACTGAGTCTACTATATTTATTTCTTGTTTGTATTTAGAGCATGGTTAAAGAATATACGCTCGAAATAATAAAATATTTTATGCGAACCTTTCTTAATTGTTTTGTCAAATATAAGTGAAGTAATAAGGTTTCGAGCACGTTTCGCCCACGGGTCGTTTTTCTCTGAAATTTATTTTAGAAAAACTTCGAAACGGCTGAGCCAATTTATGAATTACTTTCAACACGATATTAATATTTTTGTCACAAGGAGTCGCGGTCAATTTCAGTTCTATTTCTTGATAACATATCGACGTTCCAGAAATAATGTATACATACCTGGGTTTCACTGCACCTCTGAAATTTGATCTTTTGGAGAAGACAAGCAAGCGTCGCCTTGGTTTGTAGCATTCCCATCCTCTGTCCGACGCAGTTTCGGGGCCCGACACCGAAAGCTTGGTACGTGTACGGGACAAGAGCCTCCTTGTTTTCCGGCAGGAATCTAATAAAAAAAACGTGATCAGTCGTAGTGGATTAATGCAACACTGCAGACCGCAAAAGTGCAATTTTGAACAAAACATAAATATGCTGCACCCGAATTGTAGATCAGCGCATGTTCGATGACACAAGCAGCTTCTGTTAAAAATGGATGATGTGCGTTCTTTGTTGAATGACTCTTCGAGAGCATTGTATATGAGCACAGTGACACGAATGCTGGTTTGGATTATGATAACGAGCATCAAGTCTATATATTTTATTAAGGTATAGGATCGAACACACAATTGGTCCAGACGCCAATTATACTTCCTGCTTAAAGGAGCGATGCAACAATTTTTGTACTGTGCACAAATACCGCTTAAAACGGATCCGTAACGTTAATGACCTATGAAACACGCGTTCGTTTTTCACCCCACGCAACAGAAGTCCCAGAAAAAAATTTAACAAAAACGAGCAGCGTTCACTCCCTCAACTCGCAGCCAGAACAAGTGGCCACGTGATCTGGAGCCGATTATATGCCGCCAGTGTTGATCATAGCCACGCGCTGGGGTTGGCAAAGCGCAGGACACGCGCTGAGATCCAGACATTGTTATGGCTCGGCTATTGTCGTCGTTGCAGCGATTGGACACGGCTCACAACCCGAATGCTTCTCGAGCTAGCAATTGTCACGAGCCCAAGTCGAGTGCCCACGCAATGCTCGGGTCCAATCTTTGAACCGCATTCAAATATCGTCACTTGGGTGTACTGCGATCCCCGAGTTACGTCATCAAAATTTGCAAAGGAGAGATTGAATGAAAATGATCGCTTTTGTCCTTGAAATTACACCGCAACAAAAGAGTTTCTTGGCAAATGGCGTTGCGTGTGAGTATCCTTGAGTCCCAGGTGTGCCAGTAAGCTCGTGTAGAAAGAAAAACATTCCAATTGAATATCGTTGCACAGCTCCTTTAAACACATCGCCGAAACTGATAAGGCCCCGAAATACCTATGACATGAAGGGCTGTTAACTTTTAGCCAACATTGTTTCATTTTTATAAAATTCAGTTTTGTTTGTCTTACTGTTTGCACCTAGTTTATCGCCCGGTTGGGGACAGGGAAAATTAAATAACTAAAATAATGAACGTAATTTTTTTTATAAACAGAATGGGTCTCATCCGTGTCATAGCCTTTTTGCGACTGGGTTCATTAAAATTGATATAAAGTTTTACGCATTTTACGACTCATTTTTTTAAATCATGAAGTTCAAAAGAATGCACCTTTCAACTAATTATATAAATAGAAAGTTACCTCGATTTTTAGGCGAAAAGGTGGTTTTAGAAGAGTTCAATGGTATGTTACTACGATAGTAATGTAACCAAACATTAGCATCGTAGTACCATTCTATGAAACGCGTCTGAAACCATCTTTTCGCCTAAAAAACTATGTAACTTTCTAATTATCAAATTATTTTAAAATCGTATTTTTGCACAATATTATTAAAAGATTGAGGCGTAAAACGCGTAAAATATTATTTTATCGGTTTCTACCGAGTATGCGAGTATTGCCAGCCCTTATGACATATAACACATCTCCAAGCTGACAGCCTGTTTTTGTCTTTCGTATAATACAACGACAAAATGTGAAACCAGAACTGTTATCTTAGTTTAATAATGTTTTTTTAGCCATGCTCATCTTTGTATTCGCACCAGTGCTCGCTGCACATGGGTGAACAAGAAATTACATGACAGAGTAGGCACACACAAATGATTAGTAAAACCCTCGTTCTGGCTAAAAAATACCCTAACTATGCAATGTTTCTACAATTAAAATTATAAATTTTCGAAAGAGAAGGAACTTCAGAAATTCAATTCCACTTTCCTGGGGCTAGGGACCAGTCATAAGTTTCTGTTGAGTGCGCTGCTTTTGTGCTCGCAACATGTGAACATTTTCGAATGGAAGCACCAACCTTTCTGGCTTGAAGCAATCGGGTTCGGGAAAGAATTCCGGGTCGCGATGCATGCCGTGAATCTGAATTTCAATGGCCATTCCGGGGTGAATTTTTATACCAGCCACTGAAGTCTCCTGGGTGCATCTTCTCATTAGCCTGAAGTAAGTAGAACTCTCATGGAACACCAGTGTCGTGCATATTTGCTCAGCTGACGAGGGTTGAGTAATGCTCTAAGCTTTCGAATCAATATTATCTTCAAAACACAACCAATTCATTAAATAATTTAGATTTTGGATGAAGATCTGCGCAGCATCCTAGCGAAGAAAACTACCCCCCCCCCCCCCCTCCCTATCTGCATAATAGATAAACATACGTCATGCACTCGCGTGGATATGTGTCCGAAATCATACCCGTTGATAGGGCCAAAGGATAAAACTAAAAATGACCCTCCTTGCCACATACATAATTATATTTCAGTTCCTCGTACCTAAGTACATACGACGCACTGTTTAATGTGATTTTAGGCAGTGCATGCTGGCAAACTGATGCCTACATATGACGAGCAAGTGAAGATAAAAGTCTTTTCGAAATCACGGGCTTAATCATCCTGAAATGCATATATACTTTGATCAGGAATTGTCTTCGCAACTTTAGAGCTAACAGGGATAAATATATATATATATATACAACGGGCATGGTGGCGGGAGGCCGAAGGCGTGGGTATATAACTGGGAAGAAAAAAACCCTTGGTGATAACGGCAACAACGGACGATTCGTTCGGCCGAAACTTTCTTCGACGTTTCGGCCGGAGTCCGGCCGGAGTGAGGAAGAACTTTTGCAGATGAACGCGGGTGGTATTTATGCAATGCTACGGTCGAGTCCGAGTTTTAAAAACGGCGGGATGACAGTTGGAGCTTCCAAAGAAGCGTAGGAAAAGTTCCAGATGGGCAAACATTTGTACAATGCTACGGCCGGGTCCAAATTTCGGCGGGGTGACGGTTGGAGCTTTCGTGAGAGGGAAGCGTAGGGCAGTTCGTATCCGGGTGAAGAAGGTTGACGGTCGGGGCCAAAATGGCCCCGTACTATGCCAACGTGTTCATGGGGAAATTAGAATCTCAGTTCATTTCTGAATGTTCCGTAAAGCCGCTAATATACAAAAGGTTTATAGATGATATATTCATTGTCTGGGCGCACACTGAGGAGGAGCTGGTGGACTTTATAGGTCGATGCGCCTTACACATTTGTACTCTCAAACCGAAATAAACTTCATATAGACGTCAACGTTAAAATAGACGAAGGTAAACTCGCCACGAGCCTGTGCCGTAAGCCAACACATCGACAGCAATCTCTGCATTATCAAAGCGACCACCCACACTATTGCAAGAACAGTGTTCCCTATAGCCAGGCTCATCGCCTCAAACGGATTTGTTCCAAGAGGACAGATTTTGATGCGAGCAGCAAAAATTTAAAGTCAGTGCTAGAGAAACAAAAGTATCCACTCCGTATAATTGACGATGCAATCAGAAAAGCCAAGCAACTGAACCGAGCAGAGCTTATTAGCCCGCGCCCCACGCAAAGCGACACACAACGCACAAATCTATATCTAACTTACAGCATGAACCATCCTAATGTAAATAATATCTTAAGACGGCATTATAACATTCTCAAACAAAGCGAGCGCATTAAAAGCGTTTCCATTCACCCCTGGGGTAGTCCACAGACGATCTCGCAACCTGAAAGACGCGCTAGTAAACTCTGGGATAAATTAATCGCCACCACCTAACGAATGTAGGCCTTGCATGCACCCAGGATATCTGATCTGTAAACACAGGTAGCACACAAACACGGCCAGCAGCACGCACTCGCAGTTCTCGATCAAAATTAAAGGGCACTTAACATGTGCCTCGTCGAATGTTGTGCACTTATTCGAGTGTACGGTATGCAAAATGCAATACATAGGGCAGATTAGAACGGCGTTTAGACTGCGCTTTAATAATCACCAATCTCACGCCATAAATCTTCCGACACTGCCTCCATCCAAACATCTCGCTCTCCCAAAACACTCGTTTGATAAATTGTCAGCGACGCTCCTAGAATTCGTATTTAAATCAAATCGCGAACGTGAACAGCATGAATCTTAAATAATTTACCGATTCAACGCTATTAAACAAGGAATAAATGAAAGCCCCGGTACTCTGGCATCGATTAAAATGCTAACAGACGAATAGCAACCGCGATCAGGGGACATCTTTTCAGGTCCCAGACCTTATTATTATTTATTCATACTACTATCTTCTTCGGGAGATGTGGTAAGAGGGGGTACATAATGTTGTATAAAGGCATATATTTCGAGTCATCTTAGCACACGTGAATAAGGCAATCAATGTCATCATTATACAGTATTGAGTAAAATTAAAGGAAAAAAAAACCTACAAAAGTTATTGTCAATCGCAGGAGTTACAAAAACTGCGGAGGTTAGCAATGAGTGATGACTCAAATGAAGCATTTATTATATGACTGGGTAAGGCAATCCAATCACGAATGGTCCTTGAGAAAAATGAGAACTTAAATACATCGACCCTACAGCTGTATTCTTGTAATGATCTACAATGAAAATTTCGCGTGGGGTAATTATGAAAAGCGGGTGAAATATATGCAGAGGTGTCAATATTAAATCGGTTGTGTAGTAGGTCGAGCAAAAATTTTTATCTTTGAAAAATGTGTCTATGGGTGCTGGAACACACATATAGTTCGGAAACCGAGTATTGTAACCGAAATTTGTTGTATATGAAACACAAGTCTTTTCTCTGAATGTATTCAAGTAAATTTATGTTGGTCTTAGTAAACGGGTCCCAGACAACGGACGTATACTCTAATTTAGGCAGAACAAACGTTTTATACGCTGTTAATTTTACATCCGACGAGGTTTGTTTTAAATTTCGCCGGAGAAACCAGAGCTTAGTTAATGCTTTGCGAACAATGTACTTGATATGGGTGTTCCAACCCAGGTCGTTTGAAATGATCTCACCGAGGTATTTATAGGAAGTCACTTCGGCTAGCACAGTATTTTTAATGGAATAATTATAGGAAAGAAAACTAGTTTTGCGGGTTATATGCATTCGAACACATTTGTTGACATTTAGTGACATCTGCCACGAGTCGCACCAATCGTGGATCTTGGATAAGCGGCTGTTAAGTAATGTCTGGTCACTAACATCCTTTACCTCAGTGAAGATAACAACATCGTTCGCAAATAAACGTGCTCGCACAGGAATGTTAGCAGTGATTTCGTTTATAAAAGTTTTAAAATTTAAAGGCCCAAGGACTGACCCTTGTGGAACGCCTGATAGCAAGGACTGGCGAGGATGCACTGGAGTTTATCTGAACGTACTGTTTTCTTTCTAGCAAATAATTTTCAAGCCAGGAGTAGATGATATCCTGTTGCACGATTGATATAAGTTTAGAAGCAGTTTACAGTGTGACACTTTGTCAAACGCTTTGGCGAGGTCAAGAAGAATTACATCAACCTGTTTAGAACGATTTAATATTTCAGCAAAATCATGGACGGTTTCAAGTAATTGCGTTGTGGTTGAAAAGCCATGACGAAAACCATGTTGATTCATGTTAAAAAAGTTGTGACTTTCTAAATACGCTGCCAAATGTTTAAAAACAACGTGCTCTAAGAGTTTAGAGCAGTAAGGAAACAAAGAAATTGGCCGGAAGTTCCCAGGCAAGAGATGAGATCCAGATTTGTGAACGGGAACGATCTTGGCAATTTTCCATTCTACAGGTATAACGAACTCTGACAATGATTTTTTTTTTTTTAATATTAAATAAAGATATTTTTAGCACCATTCTGCGTAGCGAACGAGGAACATATTTGGAATGCCGTCGTGACCAGCAGCATTTGTTTTTTTGTCGAAAGATTGAGCAACGCTTAAAACAGTCCCTCGGGAGACATAAAAGCATCGGGTAACACTGATAGGTTGGGTGACAGGTTTAACAGCAGTGGTACTGTGTTTGTGGCCCGAACTGGACCATCAACTTTTCTCTTTTATTTCCAGGTTTTTATATTCATTTTCTTTCTCTATATTTCTAGGTTTAACATTGTTCCCTTCCCGGTCTAACTCATGCATGCCCCAAAAAACAACCCAAATAACCGTGCCGTTTTTGTTGTTTTTTTTTGTTTTCTTTTGAGACACCATTTTGGTTTGCGCGTGTATCTTTCGTCCATTGTACGCTATCGTCCAGGTCACTCCTGCCCGCCCGGACACAAAGTCACCCTGCGTCCCCTCTCAAGAAACTACAACCGTCATCCAACCGTCCATGTAAATTGGCCCCGACCGTCAAGCTTCTTACGCTTCCCTCTCACGAAAGCTCCAACCGTCACCCCGCCGAAATTTGGACCCGACCGTAGCATTGTATAAACGTTCGCCCATCTGGAACTCTTCCTACGCTTCTTTTGAAACTCCAACCGTCATCCCACCGTTTTTGAAACTTGGACTCGACCGTAGCACTGTATAAATACCACCCGCGTTCATTTGTAGAAGTTCTTCCTGGCGAAGGCCGGACTCTGGCAGAAACGTCGAAGAATAAATCGTCCGTCGTTGTTGTTTTCACCAAGGTTTTTCTTCTCATATATATATATATATATACAGGGTGTTTTTTTATCCTTACAGATTTGTTTAAAAAAAACTGTGAAAGCTAAACTAATGCGGTGTGTGCAGGTGGTTCATACGGCCAGGCGGACATTATGGGGGTGGCTAATCTTTGCGATAAGTCGGGTAATTAATTAAAATTCGTTAACTTTTTTAATTAGTGAAAGTATACACATAGTTCCAATTAGAAACTTGTAGAGCATCATCGAAAATCACTAAATCAACTATTTTTCGAAGGATACAACGCCGGGGCACCATTTTACGGCGTTCTGTGAAAACGCTTCTTTTGGACGCGTTTCTAGATTTCGGTTTCTTATCGGAGCGCATCTTTACGCCCGCGGTCCTGCCCCCCGGTGGTCGCGGCGCGAAGCCACCTCCTCGCCTCCCTCATAGAATAGAGGGAACAACGAGGTAGAGGGGCTTAGAGCGATAAACCGGGGTTCCGGTCTGCACTCGAAAGTGACCCCCATAAGGCGGCTGCCATTGTACGCAAATTTG